CTAGTAACTGAAAATCCACAAATGCAGAAGGAAACATCAAAGACATAACTTAGAATTGTATAAGTCCAGTCATCAGCTAGTGAAATTCAGCATAGCTCTTTTGACTTTGGTGTAGCAAACATAATTTACACTGAGGATCAAGTCTGTGTTTTCAAATTCAGGTTTGGTCCAGTTTTACAAAGCAGTTTGAAAGAGCATAAGGTATAAAGTACTATCTTTCAATAGGTGTATTTAGGTGGAAACTAATATCTTACCAAGTGCAAGTACTCAAAGCCTGATTCAATTTACAGCAGCAAAATACCATAGACCAGTGGTTCCCAACCACTGGACTGCGGCCTGGTACCAGGCCGCGAAGGGTTGGCTGCCAGGTTGTGGCACAAGCTTTAATCACTGCTAGCAACAGTTCTATGCCCAGGTCGTGCCCACACCATGCTGATCGGCGGGGCGAGAATATCCTCGCTTGGCCAATAACTGTGACTTCAGCTTTTGAAATTGTACCACAGGAAATGTGGCTAGTCACTTGTGTATCAGCAAGACTGTGGTAGCTACTAGCGTCCGGCTCATGTTCTCCCTGTCTCCTTGGCAGCTAGCTAGTTAACGTTAGCCAGCTAGTGATGTGTGTATATATATGATTTTTAGCTATTGTCTCCTCATTTATTGATGATGTTCCTTATGATCCCTTCCCCCCCGCCCACTTAAAAATTATATTTAAATATGTAAATTAGATTGTTTCTATACCTGGTTTACCAAAATTCTTTGAGTGAGTTTGCCGGTTCGCAGTATAAAAAAGGGTTGGGAACCACTGCCATAGACTTCAGTGGAGGTGTTCTTCTTTTAAAATGGTATGTGAGAGAGTGGAATCATTTCCAAAGTAAGTGTAAAATTGGGTTCCTACTGTCTAATCTCACAAGCTGACCTTGTTGACGCATCTTCTTTCTCTTCAACAACATGAGAACTCATATGGAGAAAAACAGAATCCTCTTTAACAAGAGAACAGCTTGCCTTTAAAATTGGATGGGTCATAGAAATGAATCCATGTATTTATATTTAACATTTTCCGTGATTTCTCATGAACTTCACAAATGTGAAGGGAGGTGCAGGAGAAGAGCTATCATACTTACAGACGGTGTGATGATAATACTCCCATAGCTCATTACTACCCCTCTACCTAGTTATTTTTAGGTTTTATTTTTAATTGTAACTGTAGTGTTAGAGTGGGGTAGCTGTGACTACAACAGTTTAATGGAACTGCCATACTAACAGAGTTTTTAGGGTGTTTTTTTTTTTAAAGATACTGACCATTCAGCCCTTTCCTATTTATTTACATCTATTAACATGCTTTTCAAAATTAAGGTTAAAAATGTTAAATCCTGATCCAATGCCTGCATGCCAATTTAGCTAGCTCCGGTTCTCTTGAGAGGGATGCCTGCTGCTTTACTTTCAGCATCTTTTAGAAGCTTCAGCGTCGGCACTTGTTCTGTTCTATTTACGCTTGTGACTTAGTTGCAATCCCATCATTCCTTTGGGGAAGTTATTGTGGCAGAGGGCTTCTGATTGTCCTGGTTGCCTTGGTGAGGGGATGATCAGGAAGGAGAGTGGATAGGTAGCCAAGCATCAGCTGTCTCTTCCCTCACTATTTCTGCAGCTTTTACAAGGGAAAAAGAAAATATTTGGCTTCCTGGGAGTCTGGTATATGAGACAGAAATGTATTAAGTACTTGTCTAATTATTATTAAGTAATACTTCTGTTCTATGCATGCTGGTCATCTCTGTGGTAGGGTTTTTCATTGTTTTCTGGACGTGAATTAAGCACTGTTTGATCCTTACACAAGATGTACACATCTGCAAAACTTTACAAAAGTTTTTCTCCACTGATAATTTGATTCAGCAATTTTGTCTGGACTTTGTCTCTAGGATTTAGAATGGTATAGCCCCAAATCTCTGTGTCCTTGGGATGAGATTTGCAGATCAGTGC